ATACACACTTTTTTTAAATACATAAATATGTATATATATATTTTTTTAAATATATAAATGTATGCGTATATATAGTTATGTATGTATGTATATTACTATTTGGTCGTATCGTCAAACGTGTATCTCGACGGACGCGTTTGCTTGTAACAAAAGAGTTGGTATGCGAGTAAAAAGCATTTCGTTTCTCTCAGGGCATATCTGGGTCACCCACGCTTTTCTCGTTTTTACATCATTGTTAAGAAATTTCCCTTTTTTTCCTCTTCTCTATAGTCTACCCCCACCTTTCCTCCATTTCTTTCATTCTCTCTCTTTCTCTCTTTTCTTTGCCCACATGTACTGATAAGAGTTGAAAGACTTCTCAACGTTTCGTTGGAAAATGGGGAAAGAGACGGAAAAAAGCATGATTCACGAAAAGAATATGGCAATCACGACACGTAGGTATACATGTGCATTGTAAAAAGGAATAATAACGTCTACTAAGGATATTCTTTTCACAAATTTCATATATGTGTATACCTTTTCATTTGTTTCTACGAGATGATATTTTTCTATTAAATGAAAATTATTATTAAAATAATAATAATAATAATGTAAATGTAAAATAATAATTTGTTCTTTTTTCTTTTAATATAATAATATTCAATATAATTATATAATTTATTATTAATGATAATACGATTAGAAAATAAGAATTAAATATCTATGAGATAAAAGTTTCAATTATTTGGCCCATCCAAAAACCGAAACGATAATATCATTTTGATTATAAATAAGAATGGAAAAGAAAAAAGTCTAAAAGAGACAAGATAAACTTGTTTTCGTTTTTATCACACGAGAAGTGGCCATCGAATTTATCCGACATGGTTATCGATACAGCCGTTTAATCCCGACAAGCTTTCTCGATAGATCGATCCTCGTGAAAACGATAAAGCGTCGGACAACGATCTTTACGGGCGACGAGGGATATAAAGTATGAGGAGTAAATAGGAGAAAACGAGACTTTAACAGGGAGTGAATCCAATGTTAAGAGAATATAACGTGATAGATTTAACGTGAGAAGGATAAGAAAAAATAAAAAGATAAAAAAGAAAAAAGAAAAAAAGAAGAGAAAAGAAAAAGAAAAAAGGAAAAGAAAAGAAATGATTTTTCTACAAATAAATCCGTGTACGTATGGTAAAGTAATACAAATTCCTTACAAGACGACTGTAAGTAAGTACATATATATATATAGATAGACATTTTTCGCCAGTTTCATCGATCGTTTTTATCCTAGCTTCTTCTTTCGTTCGGAAATANTTATATTATTTCTTATATATATATATATTTTATATTATTTCTTATATATATATATATTTTATATTATTTCTTATATATATATATGAAGAAAAAGAAGACACCTTGTTGAATTCCTTCCTTGTGGATTTTTATTGCTAGATCTCACCTCGAGAATATGGCGATTCTTTGATATACCGAGTGATACCTTGTATTCTAGCGAAAAGTCGTAAAACGAACGAGTTGAAACAACTATGGAATGAACGCAGATCTTCCCTTTTCTGCACCTGTATAGATTTTCCTGTTATAACACCTATAAACCATTCTACTCTCTCTCTTTCCCTCTCTTTCTCTTTATCTATTTATTTTCTTTCTCTCATTTCACGACATTCTTCTGTTTCCTCGTATATTTACACCTCGTAGAACGAAAATCTAGGGATATAACAAGGTTAGAAAACATTCGCGAAATAATTTCACGTAGGATATACTATACGCTATGTGTTACCAATGACAAAGACGAAGACAACGATGCAATCTTTTTTTGAAGCTTATCCTCGTAACCTGCTTTTTCGTTGTTATCCGAAAAGATTTTTTTTATAACAAGTTATGGAGATAATTTTTTCATTCGTATTTTTACGTATGATAAACAAAATAAAAAGAAATATAATAAAAATTATA